AGTTTCAGCAGCGGCTGAATCTGGACGCCAGTTCCGACTTACATACAGATTCAACTTAAGAACAAACCTACAGTCCCTATCTTGTACGTAACCCGGGGACTGCCTGTATCACTTTTAAAAACTCGGGCCTTTATATACCATAGAGTAAGTGGTTTAAACTGCAACCAGCTCAGGGACAAATGAGTTGGTCTTGGTAGGATCCACTGCACAAGAAGTGAATCTGGACGCCAGTTCCGACTTACATACAGATTCAACTTAAGAACAAACCTACAGTCCCTATCTTGTACGTAACCCGGGGACTGCCTGTATCACTTTTAAAAACTCGGGCCTTTATATACCATAGAGTAAGTGGTTTAAACTGCAACCAGCTCAGGGACAAATGAGTTGGTCTTGGTAGGATCCACTGCACAAGAAGCCCAAGAGCTACAGGTGGTGCTCAAACCACCTGCCCGCTCCCTTAACTCTGGCTCAGCCTGTCCCAAGCAAGGGGCTAAAAAGTCATTTTGAGAGTATGCTTGAGGATGACATATTGGCTCTTTTCCTGGACCCAGTTTTTGGCAATCACATTTTCCATTTCCTCTGTGTGTTCTGTGATAACTTTGAACCACTGGGTCTTCAGTACAGTAGTGCATAGCTACACCCTTCAGTTTATTTATTGTCCACTACCACTCCCTGTCTTTCTTCAGGGGCTCCTCTCACAAAAGTCTCCTCATACAGGAGGTTCAGGGAATCCTGCATCTGGGGACAGTGGAAGTCATGACTCCATTCCAGAACAAAGGTTTATATTCCCAGTATTTTTTTTTTAATACCAAAGACCAAGGTCTACATCTTATCTTAGACCAGTGAGACCTCAACAAGTACCTACAGAAACTAAAGTTTCACATAGTCTCCTGGCCTCCATTATTCCCTCTCTGGATCCGGAAGATGGGAATGCCACCATTGACCTGAAAGATAAATACCTCCACATGGCAATCTTCTCAGGGCACAGACGCTTTCTTTATTTTTACAGTGCATTTGGCCCACTACCACTCTGCGGGCTTCCCATTTGGCCTGGCTGCAGCATTGTTTACCAGTTGCCTGGAGGTAGTTGCAGCTTAGCTCAGGTACATTACCCATACCTCGACAACTGGCTAGTCAAAGGCAGCTCCAAAGCACAGGTCCAAGGCAGTGGCAAGGATCTTGCAAGCCATGTGCTCCTCCCTGGGGCTAATGGTCATTGACAAAAAGTCCACATTAGCACCACTTCAAAAAATAGAATTCATTGGAGTGGTGCTCAGTTTTACCTGTGAAAAAGTGTTCCTGTCATTAGACAGGTTGCAGGCCATGTTCAAGTTTCCTCTGACTACGACCAGGGTGTTCATATCACCACATACCTGAGCAAGCGCAGGCACATATGCAGTCCAGCATACTAGACTCTGTATTTGACCTCTCCAGCAATGGCTGACATTGGCATATTCCTAGTCCAGGGATCACCTGTATTCCTCCCATGGTTCTTACTTCTCTCCAGTGGTGCATCGATCCATTGAACACCGGAGATGGAGTTCTTTTGACAATCCCACTTCCTCCCTTGAGCTGGTGTTGGATGCCTCAGAGCTTGGCTGGAGCGTGCATCTTGGAGATCTCTGTACCCAGGTACCGTGCATCCTGAAAGTGGTGTTATATACAAACATCAGGGGGCTGAGAGCAGGTCAGCTAGCCTGTGAGGTCTTTCTGCTGCACGTATCAGACAAAGTGGTCTGAGTCTCCATGGACAATATGGCCTCTGGGACTTCTGCATCGGCCATGACATCCATCTTGGAAGCTGGTCATCTACTGGGGTCAGGAATGCTCTACTGGATTATATCAGCACGAACTTCTCTCATGAGTTGTTGCTTCACCCAGAGGTGGCCTGAACAATTTGCCAGAGCTGGGGTTCTCCCTTAGTGGACTTGTTTTCCACCAGGCAAAGTAGAAAGTGCCATCATTTTTGCTCTTGGTAGGGACTGGGTAGAGGCTCCCTCTCTGATGCCTTCCTCCTTTGTGGGCCAAAGATCTGCTGTGCTTCCCTGCCATTCCCTATCCTCAGCCAGGTCCTGGTAAGGATCAAGAGACAAGGCATAGATTATTGTGATTGCCCCCGTATGGCCTCACCAGCATTGGTATGGAACACTCAAGCACATGTTATTGGGCTCTCCCTTGCCTCTTCCCTACTGTCTGGGCCTGCTGTCAGTACCATGGTTGGCTCCTACACCCTAACCTTGAGTTTCTGCACCTCTTAAAGTGTATGCTCCATTGAGGAGCCTGGAGGAGTATACCTGCTTAGAGGAGGTCCATCAGGTCTTTCTGGGAAGCACGAAGCTATCTGTGAGACTGACTTACCTGGCCTTACTTCCACTGGGTATCGGAATGCAGTATCTTCAGCTCATGCTGTCTGGTGCAGCCTGTCTTAGACTACTGGCTGCGTTGCAGGAACCAGGTTCTGGTGAATTCTTTCATCAGAGTGCACCTTGTACCCATCTCCACATTCCATCAGCCAATTAAGTTGCAGATGGTATTCTCTTACGACTCAATGATCATATTCCTGGGAGCTCTTGAGTGGCTTTACCCGCAGATTTGAGAATGTGCCCCGTGGTGGGACCTCAACCTGGTCCTCTCCAGGCTTACCAGCCCACTCGTGAAGCCACTGGTTTCCTGTTCCCTTTCCCACTTGTCTCAGAAGGTTGCATTCCTGGTGGCTGAGACCTTGGCGAGGCAAGTTTCTGAGATCAGAACTTTGACTTCAAAACTGCCTTACATGATCTTCCACAAAGACAAGGTCTAGCTGTGGCCTCACCTGACCTTCCTGCCAAAAGTGGTTTCTTTGTTCCACATGAACTAGGACATATTCCTGCCTGTGTTCTGCGTCAAGCCTCTTAAGACAGCAGATGAGAGATATGTACACACCCTGCATGTCCAGAAGCCTTTGGCCTTTTATCTGGAACGTGCCAAGCCCTTCTGCAAGTAGACTCACCTATTTGTTGCTACAGCTGATAGGAAAAAGAGTATTCCGGTCTTGTTGGAGAGGATTTCCAACTGGATCACTCCTTGCATATGGACTTGCTATGAGCTGGCAAAATTCTTGCTGCCATCAATTGTCTGGGCCCATTCAATCACAGTGCAGGCATCATCTGTGGTTGCCTTGGTGCACATACTAATTCAAGACATCTGTAGAACCGCAATGTAGTCCTCAGTCCTACCCATTCACATCTCACTACACTATTACTCTGCAGAATTGACACTGGGTTTGGAAGACTTGTGTTACAGTCAATGTGTCTGTGAATCTCCATGGTATTTTCTGGAGTCACCTAATGTGGAATGGATGCAGGCAAGCACTCGAAGAAGAAAGGACAGCTACCTGTTCTGTAACTGGTGTTCTTCAAGATGTGTTGCTCCTGTTCATTCCATGACCTGCCTTCCTTTCCCAATGTTGGAGTTTCCAGCAAGAAGGAACTGTGGTTGGGAGAAAATGTGGCACCCTGTAAATGGCCCCATGAGAGTGTCACTGCAGGGGTTGCCAGAGCTGTTTCATTATGAATACTGCTGAGGGAAAAACTTCTGAAACTGGTGCATGTGGTGAATATACACATTTCTAATGCAGAATGGACATAAGCAACACATCTTGAAGAACACCAGTTACCGAACAGATAACTGTCTTTTAAGAGTGAAAGCAAATATTTAAAATTTTTTATTTTTTAGTTATCAAAAGAATTAGGCTTATGATGAATGTGCTTATGTCTCTAGAGCTCATTTTATTTACATATATACAAACAGTCATGCTGTATGCATTCTTTCTCTCTTCTGTCTGACTTAGAGCTGATCTACATTTACACAGTTAGGTTGTTGTAAGCTGCCTTGCATCAGCTTAGCTGTAAAAGTGTCTTCACTTAAATTTGGCTCCTGACAACTTAAGTGCCTCTCCCTGAGCAGTTTAGTGTGACACTGGATGTAATTAGGTGAGTGCTGCGTCAGAGTAGACACTACATTGCTTATGTAGATTGTTAATGGTCTTCAGGAGCTGTCTCACAGTGCCCTTCCCTTTTAGTACAAGCAGTTCAAACGCTCCTGGTAAGGACATGCTCCTCCAACAAGGGCAATGAGCCAAGTGCGCACGTGCACAAGCGATTTAATAAATGTGGTGGTTGTAAATCGACATAAGGTAGGCTGATGTAATTTTGTAGTATAGACACGGCCTTAATCTTTTTAGGTGTATGTCTTTGTTTTCTTTTAGACATGCTTACTGATTTGAAAAATTTTGGGAGGCTATTTTAGTGAATTTCATAACTTTTCTTTAGTGAATGTTTTTGCTGAGTTATTTAGTCATGATCTGTAGATTTATTATGTCTATATAGGCATTTTCATACTGTGGGGGCATTTAAGTGAAATGAATCAGTGTGATAGAGCCCCATTTTTTAAATGTGAAAAGTATGTATTGCTGCTTTCCTGTTGAAACACTAGATCAGGGTTTCCCAACCTATGGGTCGGGACCCAAATATGGGTCATCATTACATTTCAAAAGGGTTTCCAAGTGTCTCCCTAGGTGGCTCCCCTTCCCCCCCCCATTTTTGAATTGCTTTGGGTCACCAAGTCTTCCTGAATTGTCAAATGGATCCCCATCTGTAAAAGGTTAGGAACCGCTGCACTAGATAAAAAGAATATAAATCTCAAATTTAAGAAATGGAGACTCAGTGTTTTCTGTTTCATTTGGAGATTGTGGAATAAACAGTCCTAACTGAAGACCAGGTAGTGCCTGGCTCTTAAATGGGTAAGCAATATGGGGAAGGTACCGGGAGCCTTCCCATTACTCATACCTGGACTTTGTAAAGGCTAAATAGGGTTGCAGCCAATGTTCCCTCTAATTTTTTCCATCCAGGAGTAGAATAAATTATATGTGCACCAAAGCATATGAGGATGTGCACCACCAGTAGAAACACTTGCTCTGCTAATCAGTTGGGCAGCCTTTGACTCTTTCCTGGGTGGCCATGCAAATGCTCAGCTTACAGGGAACATTGCAGCCCTTGTGCATGGGGATGTATGTTTATGCAAGGACTCCTTGATTAGGACTATTCAGGGTTGTGCCTATAAGGCACAATCAAGTCATCCTTCAGAAGCTTTAACTAATCTAATTTTAGAATTCTCCCATACGCTGATTTTGTTTTTGTTCTGCTTCATCAGTAAGTTACTTAAAATAAAAAAAAGGCGTTGTCCCTTTCTTTTGATACAGGATTGCATCACTGCCTCTACCTCAACCCCCAACTTTGACGGACAACTACAGAACTCCTTATGATGATGCATACTATTTTTATGGAGCTAGAAATCCTTTAGATCCTAGTCTTGCATACTGTAAGTTCACTGCTTGACAAACATCTAACTGATGAACCAAAATACAAGCAAAAACTATTTTCTGGATGGAAGAAGAAATAAAAGGAAAAATAATAGCTTGGAGTAGGAAAAATTGTCTTGGTAGGAAGGAAAATGTCCTATAACACATGTATTTACTAGTGGATTTAAAAATCAATTTGTATCAGTCAGAGGTAGATGACTTTCAAAAGTGCGGGAGGGATTTAGGAGAACAACTCCATTGACTTTCACTGTAAATCTCTTCTCACTGTGAAGTCTGACTGTGCATGGTTTTGGAATATTTTAAGATATTGATAAATATAGGGCCATTTCTTTATGGTAGAATTTTATTTATGAAGACTATTCCACAAGAAATCCATTTGTGTTTGAGATCAGATTTTTTAAAAAAATTGGAAGCACTTTTTCATTACATTGTGGACTGATAGCATGCTATAATTAAGTTTGAGACAAGCTTACTGTTTGACAGTCATTTTATCTAAGTGCTCTAAAATTCACACACATTTGGATTAGCTTGAAAACAGCTGTGCCTCATTGGGATATGGGGTTAGTGGTCAAGATTGAGAGAGCAACGGATTCCCAGTATACAGCGTCCCTAAAAAAATCAAAATGTTATAGTTCTTATAACTCTTACACATATGGGACTCAAACTCTGGCTCTTATTCTTCTCAATCTCCTATCACCTGCTTGGGATTGATTTTAACTATTGTACAGAACCCTTTATCCCTTTGAGGAAATTTGAGTGAAATTGCTGAATCAGAGGAAGTCATTTGTGCGGGATGGGGTTTGATGTATACCAGAGGGTTTGGAGGTCACAGTAAATGGGTGATTCCCTCAGCAGCACGCATGTACCACGAGTAAAAGTTCTGCACTTGGCAGCTTTCTGAAAATGTGTGTTGTGCACATTAATTGCTCTCTGACTACATTCTGCAAGGACTCCTTCTGGAAGATGTTCCTGGGAGCAAAGCTTCTTGTTTAAGAGCCATTATTTCAAAGTCTGAAAACTCAGATTTTATTTTAGCTGTGTTCTCAAGAATAATCACTTTAATTTAGTTTGTCTACTCTTGCACTTTTGTAGGTAAAACACCCCCCTGACTGATGTAAGTTACACCAACAGAAGTATTGGCGCAGATAATGTAATGTTGGTGGGAGAGCATCTCTCACTAACATACCTATCACTGCACATTGAAGACTTGTTCCTTTTAAAGTAGGGTGGTTACATGGGAGACCTCACAGCAGTACAGCTGCATTGGTTCAGCTGTGCCACTGTAATGTCTCTAGTGTAAACAGGCTATGTAGAGGGAAGATGGAATAATCTAGTAAGCAGCAGCACTATAGTGATTTAATCATTCTGCATGCTTCCTAACCCATGTTTTGAACAATGGGTCGAGTGTGAACAAAGAAAAGCAAATGGCCAGGATTCTTATAATTATCAGCTGATAAGGGGTTTCTAAGCATCAGGAAATGTACCCATAATAGCGGGTCTATTCCAGAGGTCACCAGCCAATAGATAGGGATCTACCGGTAGATCTTGGAGCCTCTGACAGGTGATCTTGACTGATTTGGCCGGGTAGCTATCAAGCATTGGTACTTCAGTTGCCTCTCCATCCACTGTCATGCTACTCCTACCCTCTGCCTTGGAGCTGCCCCCCTGGGAGCCTCCTGCTTGCTGTTCAGGTTGTAGGAGGGAGATGAGGGGAGGTGGTGGTGATGTCAGGGTGTCCCTCTCCCCGCACTTCTGTATCCTATCTCTACACAGAGAGAAGGGGATGGAGGGAGCAAATCTTTGTCACTCTCAAACACTGTGTGTGTGTGTCTGTCATTCTCACAAACACACTGTCCTTCACTCTCATCTCTTGACTCAACACACATGTGGTAGGGTTGTTGTTAGTACTGTAACTGCTTGCAAAGTGGGTTATTTTTAGTTTTCGACTAGTCTGTGCATTTCATAATTTTCATTTCTTTCTTAGACTTAAATTTAATTCTTTCAGTAGTGACTTCTAAATGCCTAACCTGTAATGGCTGGAGTAATTGTCTCTATGGTAATTGCTGCTCCTGGTAGTGGCTGGCAAGTCCCCTGCAGCTTCTGAGAAAGGCAGAGCAGGGCATCTCCACATGCCAGCTGTTTTCAGGAAGGGTGCAGGGCCAGGACAGGAGTAAGCCTACCTTAACTTCACTGCTCCATGACCCAGAAGCAGTCTCAGTTAAATGGTGCCCAGACAGATCCTGCATCCTGAACCCTAGTCCCAGCCCTGAACCACTTCCTACACCCAACCTCCTATCCCAGATGTGAGTCCCTCTGCACCCAAACTCCTTCCCAGAGTTTGCACCCTGAAACCCCTCCTGGACCCCAGTTCCTCACTCTGGTCTAAGCCCAGAGCCCCTTTCACATGCCAAACCCCTTGGCCCAAGACCTACCAGATCCTGCACCCTAACCCTCTACTTCAGCCTGGTGAAAGTGAGTGAGGATGGGGGAAGGAAGGAAGATGGAGTGAACAGGGTGAGGCCTCAGAGAAGGGGTGGAGGAGGGGCAGAGCCTCAAAGAAGGAGTGGGAAGGAAGCAGGGCAAAAGTATTTAGGTTTGAGGTAGATCTTACATTGCATTTAAATTGAAAAAGTGATATTGTGGTCAAAAAGATTGGAGACCACTGGTCTATTCTAAGAACTGTTATAAGGTCATCATTGACCAATATGGCATCTGGATAGTTTTGAAAATCAAAACAGTAACTTTATGATATATAATTAAAAAAGAAAAACAAATTTCTACAATCATTAATCCAATCTATTTACAGCATTTTTTAATAATTGTCAGTTTCACTCAAGTTCCTGTGAAATTGGAGTTCAGAAGCAATATCAGACACTGGAAAACTTTAGTCACATAAACTTTAGTCATGTAAAATATGGGGCAAAATAGCATTTAACCAATTGCCATAAAAATCAAGCAGTGCATCAATGGCCATTTAAAAATGACCACTATCCCAAAAGGCAGAATTTATGTATGCCCTTTTCATTCTTATCAAAATGGAAATCATGCTGCTACTGTCCCCACTGTCATACTGTCATACTGCTGAGCCTCATTAGGGCTGGGGTAGAATGAAGATGCAAGTTGGAGTCATTTGGTCAGGGGATTCTTCAAATACAGACTCCCACTCATTAAATAACTGATTTTAATAGTGCTTTAAAATCTATAGGGAGATGGTCTTGAAAACTGATATGCCTCCATATGGGCTGGGATACAATTTGTCTGTGGTCAGTGGATTCTCTATAGATCCCTCTAGATTACCCTGAGGACAGGTGGTAAATCTGGATTTTGTGGTTTTCAGGGGTTTATATATTAGACTCATTTGACTTCTAGAAAGAACGCTCAACCTTAACTGTGCATTTAGTTTTTGGGTAGTGAATTATGTTTTCATTTAGGTAATGGAAATATGTGTCTGTGTCTCTGATAGATTGCAATGACTGTATTTTACTATTTAGATGGCACAGGAATGATGGGAATACAGCCTGCACCTAATATTGAAGATCTTCCAGGGAAAATACCAGCAGATCAGGCTGCGTAAGTATTAGCTATGTTCATTGAATATTGTTCTAACTTCTGGTGGATTTTCTAACAGGAATGTATCTTTGAAGGAGGGGTATTAAAATAAATTGTCTAAACTGAAAGGAAAAAAATTCTCATGTTTCATGATTGTATTTAAAGTAGAATTACTTTTTTCATTAAACTGTATTTTTCTTTTTATATTTTTTTTAACTCAGGAACATTGGACAGAGAAACACAAGTGATAGACCAAAAGGACTAGGAATATTTCCTGAAGAAAAACCAAAGCCCTCTAAAGAGTCATCTTTATCTTACCAACAAGAATTGCAACAGCAGGTATTAAGTTCTGAAACTGTTCCTTTTAAATTGTGTATGTGTGTAAAGATTTCCAAAATGGATTTACTCAGTTTACAAGTAAAAAGTTTCTTAAAAAGTAAAAGCTGTGCAAATTGAGATCTGAAGGTAAAACTATGTTTGTTCTTGTTCCCGCTGTCATTGATCATAATTGTTGGGGCTTAGTTTACAATTCAGTTGTTAATGTGTTTTGTGGAATAGAATTAAGCCCACTCTCCCTTAACTATGTAAGTTCTGTGGTTCTTGGTAAGACTTTGCTAATAAAATCGAACAGATATGACTTTGAATACAACTGCAACAGGCAGCTATTGCCATTTCTTTGGCAATATCTGTGGTTTCACAGTCACATGATCATATTCTTCAAAAATGTTTGCTGTCTCATTGCTGTATGAAAGACCCATATGGAAAGATTAAACTGACCCTGTTATCTGTCTAAAGGAGAAACAGTGAGACAGGTACTGTCAAATGCACAGAATGAACATACTGGAAAACAGAATATTTTTTCTTGAATCTGTTTCTAGTTCTACTGTAGTTGAAAATGTGTAAACATTATAGGCTAAAAAACATTTGGCTGCAAGCGTGGCTTTAAAATTGATGTCTTTTTGATCTTTCAAAAATCTGTTACACAAACATTGTGGAGGTTAGTGGACTAAGTTTTATCTTACTGTCTGTGGAGGGGAAGAAAACTAAAGAGAAGGTGTTATAGAAGTGAGGCATCAGCAAATATATCTCCCATGTCTGTGCTATGCTGTGGGGCGTGCTGGGCGGGGTGAGGGGACAGGCCCTGACCATCACTGTCATCTGGCAACAGGTCTCTCTAACCCAGGGTCGTGTTCCAGTCTGGGGTGCAATGGTGGGGGACGGGAGAGACCTGTGAATATGAGAAATTGCAAAAAGCAATTCAGCGAATTATGAGGGTCTCATGTATCTGTAAGTATACTTTATGGCAGAGGTGTTCATTGAAGCTATTTATAGTATGTGGTCTGGAGAAATCCACTATGAAATTTTTGTGACTAATTTGGCGTGGATATCTAGCAACACAATGGAAAACAATAGCACTCAGCTTGCTTTATCAGTTCTTTACTTCCAAATATATTTATTTTTATTAGAAGTTTGTGTAACTGTTTTCCTTTCTTTAGATAAGAGAAAGAGAAGAACGACGCAGACGAGAGAGAGAGGAAAAAGAACGTTACGAAGCCAAATTAGAAGCTGAAATGAGAAATTACAATCCTTGGGGAAAAGGTGGCGGTGGTGCTCCTCTCACAGATGCAAAAGGAAATCTGATAAGTATGTTTGAAAATGTGGGTCTTCTCGTTAAGACATCTATGTTTTTAGATTTATTCTGACAGTGTTGTTCTTTATATTGCATCATTACTTTACAGGCAACTAAGAACACTTGGCCAGCACCCTTAGAAGTGTGCAATCTTAGTGATCAAATCCTGTTTGCGTTACTTAAGGGAATGGCTTAATTGGCTTCATGGAACTACTTGCTTTGAGTAAAAACTACAGGACTTAATCCAAACCTGGTGGATAATTTAAAAATAAATAACACATACATAACAGGAACATTGCTTGATGTATTGCTTGTGTATTAATTACTTGGAGATTTACCTGGCATTGCTTGGGTCCTTAACTCAGTTGAGGTGGGAGTTTTTTTTAAATAACAGGAAAATATACATGCTTTATTTAACTGATTGTATTTTTCAAAAATACAGTGTTATTTTTATGAAGTTAAATTTTATTTTGGATTTCTTAAAAAAAAAGAATTGTTAAAATGTTTTCAATTTTTTTAGTAAATGTTTAAAATGGGAATTTCATTGAGTGTATTGTTTTTCTTCATCCCAATAAATGCTTGTTGTTTGCTATGTTTTAACAAAAAAGGGCAATAGTCAGTGTGGTTTGAAATAAGGTTTGAAAACTATAAGAAAATGTTAAGCATTGAGTTAGCTGTGCTAAAATAGACCATTACTCTAGACTTTCCATTTTATCTTTTTTGTAAGTCAGAGAAGCAATCCTGTTCCAGGTTTATCCTGTTTTTCTGGCTCATCTTGGTTTAGTTCAGGGGTGAAAGTAATTTAAATTTCTTACAGATACTATTGTATTGCAAACTGTTCCCCTTCCCCTGGGAAGGGCCTTCAGGGAAGAAGGTTGGGGGGGGTTGTGATAGAACAGTACCTGTAAGAAATGTAAGTATGGTATGGGGTGGAGTTCAGTGAGGGGAGTAAAGGCAGAGGGTTGGGGAGTGAGTGTTTGGGGTGTGGAGTGACTCAGGGCAGGGAGTAGGGATGTGGGAGGCAGGGCGCAGAAGTCAGGGCAGAGGCTTGGCGATGTGCCAGTGGCTGGGAGTGTGGGGGGTGTATGCAGAAATTAAGGTTGAGGAAAAGGGGCTCAGGGGAGGGGGCTGGGCTTGGGGGATGTGGGGAACTCAGGACAGGGGGCTGGAGGTGGGGGGTGCAGGAGTCAGTGTGAAGGTGAGGAGGGACTCAGGGCAGGAGGTGTGAGGGTGCAGGAGTCGGGTGGGGGTGAGAAGGGGCTGAGAGCAGGAGGTTGGTGTGTGGGAATGCAGGAGTTAGGGTTGGGAATGGTATAAGCTAGCATCTTGTGATCATCTGTCTGCAGTTTAGTCATTACAGCGTTATTTCTTGTGATACTTTATGAACCAGATCAGGGGTTCCCAAACTTTTTGACACCGGGGACCAGTAAATCCATTCACGAGGTTTTTGAGGACTGGTAACATTTATTTGCATATTCATTAAGCAAATGATGAATATGCAAATACATTTTCTGGTCCTCCCAAAGCCCCCAGTGCCAACTTTAGAATCATAGAATCATAGAATAATAGGACTGGAAGGGACCTCGAGAGGTCATCGAGTCCAGCCCCCCGCCCTCAAGGCAGGATCAAGCTCCGTCTACACCATCCCTGACAGATGTCTATCTAACCTGTTCTTAAATATCTCCAGAGAGGGAGATTCCACCACCTCCCTTGGCAATTTATTCCAATATTTGACCACCCTGACAGTTAGGAATGTTTTCCTAATGTCCAATCTAAACCTCCCCTGCTGCACTTTAAGCCCATTACTCCATGTCCTGTCCTCAGAAACCAAGAGGAACAAATTTTCTCCTTCCTCCTTGTGACACCCTTTTAGATATTTGAAAACCACTATCATGTCCCCCCTTAATCTTCTTTTTTCCAAACTAAACAAGCCCAGTTCATGAAGCCTGGCTTCATAGGCTTCTCTAGACCTTTAATCATTCTTGTCGCTCTTCTCTGTACCCTTTCCAATTTCTCCACATCTTTCTTGAAATGTGGCGCCCAGAACTGGACACAGTACTCCAGCTGAGGCCTAACTAGCGCAGAGTAGAGCGGCAGAATGACTTCACGAGTTTTGCTTACAACACACCTGTTAATACAACCTAGAATCATATTTGCTTTTTTTGCAACAGCATCACACTGTTGACTCATATTCAACTTGTGGTCCACTATGACCCCTAGATCCCTTTCCGCCATGCTCCTTCCTAGACAGTCGCTTCCCATCTTGTATGTATGGAACTGATTGTTCCTTCCTAAGTGGAGCACTTTGCATTTCTCTCTATTAAACCTCATCCTGTTTACCTCCGACCATTTCTCTAACTTGCTAAGGTCATTTTGAATTATGTCCCTATCCTCCAAAGAAGTCGCAACCCCACCCAGTTTGGTATCATCTGCAAACTTAATAAGAGTACTCTCTATCCCAATATCTACATCATTGATGAAGATATTGAACAGTACGGGTCCCAAAACAGACCCTTGAGGAACTCCACTTGTTATCCCTTTCCAGCAGGATTTAGAACCGTTAACAACAACTCTCTGACTACGGTTATCCAGCCAATTATGCACCCACCTTATCGTGGCCCTATCTAAGTTATATTTGCCTAGTTTATCAATAAGAATATCATGCGAGACCGTATCAAATGCCTTACTAAAGTCTAGGTATATGACATCCACCGCTTCTCCCTTATCCACAAGGCTCGTTATCTTATCAAAGAAAGCTATCAGATTAGTTTGGCATGACTTGTTCTTCACAAACCCATGCTGGCTATTCCCTATCACTTTATTACCTTCCAAGTGTTTGCATATGATTTCCTTAATTACCTGCTCCATTATCTTCCCTGGGACAGACGTTAAACTGACCGGTCTATAATTTCCTGGGTTGTTCTTATTCCCCTTTTTATAGATGGGCACAATATTTGCCCTTTTCCAGTCTTCTGGAATCTCCCCTGTCTGCCATGATTTTTCAAAGATCATAGCTAAAGGCTCAGATACCTCCTCTATCAGCTCCTTGAGTATCCTGGGATGCATTTCATCAGGACCTGGTGACTTGCTGACATCTAACTTTCCTAAGTGATTTTTAACTTGTTCTTTGTGTATCCTATCTTCTAAACTTACCCTCTCTCTGCTTGTATTCACTACGTTAGGCACACCTCCAGACTTCTCGGTGAAGACCGAAACAAAGAAGTCATTGAGCATCTCCGCCATTTCCAAGTTCCCTGTTACTGCTTCTCCCTCCTCACTAAGCAGTGGGCCTACCCTGTCCTTGGTCTTCCTCTTGCTTTTAATGTATTTATAAAAGGTCGTCTTGTTTCCCTTTATGCCTGTAGCCCACAGAAAAGTCAGTCGCGGCCACACAAATGAGATAAAAAAACAAAACCCCTCCAAACTCCTCAAACTTCACTCATGTGGCCCCAACGGTGCTTGTGTGTGCTGGGACAGAGTTCTGGGGAAGGGTGCCAATGAGTGCTGGGGCAGGGGACAGGGTGCTTGTGGGTGCTGGGGGGGGGGGAAGGCAACAGGGACCGATACCTGGGGATCCTGTAGCTGCCAAGGCCCAGGAAGCGCATGGGCTATGTGGTACCCGACACGCTGGTCTGTTGCATGTCTGATGCCTTCCTGCGCAGGGAGGAGGGGGAGTCCTGGAGCGTGCCAGCCTCAACCGCCTGGGCAGCGCGCATCTTGCTCCTCTGCTCCCCACGGCAGCATGCCCAAGCAGCCAGAGCCAGCACAGTCCCGGATCCCCACCCGCAGGAAGGCAGCAAGGGAACAAAGTCCCCAGCGTGCAATGGATCGGCATTTTAGGTACCGCGCCTGCTGTTGGGGCAAGGAGGAGAGCAGCCTGTGCACTTCCGGGACCTGGCGCGCAGCTGCAGAATTGCCCCCTGATGCCACCTTGGGGGTTGAGGGTAGCAAGGCAGGCTCTCTTGCAAAAATTTTTCTGAGGCCTGATATTTTTTTTCCACGGACCAGTACTGGGCCGCGGATCACAGTTTGGGAAACGCTGATCTAGACGAGTCCTTGTAAGCTGCTTATGCTGAGGCTTATGCTTATTTCACTAAACTATTGTTTTACAGGCCTTTTAAATTCATTAAATTTAAACCGAAAGAGTCCAGTAAAGGAAGTGGGGTATATTTGAGTTGGCTCACTATGACAGCCTTGTTAAATTGTCGTATAAAAAAAGTCATATACAGTAAAACCTGTGTTATCTGGCACGCTCGCAGATTAAAGTGTTCTGGTAAAAATTCCGGTTATCTGAGTGTCCCATCAACCTAGGAAAAACCAAAGGACAATAATAGTAAAACTTCAAGCATATTGGTAGTAATTCTTTGCATTGGCAAGATTTGAGCCAAAAATATTAACAGTAGTCAAGATTTGGAAAAATAAATAATGATTTAGGATGCCTCAGTTTTTGTGGGACTGTTGAGGGACCAGTGTTTCAGAGGGTAGGAGAATAGGACTTCCTGAAAATCAAGATTCTTTAAAATGTGTTCTGTTGGGTGCCCCATAATCATCACACATGAAAAAATTATCGAGTGTCTTTGAAGTAATTTAATGTAGTGTGTGGAAATTCTGTTTGACAATTTTTTATAAAATAATAATTAGAAGATAAGTTTCAGTCCTGGTATAAAACTTTGAGCATACTGTATATTGTGAATGTTTGTTTGCATACATAAAAATAGCAGGATTAATGAAGGTGAGAAGAACTAATTTACAGGTAAGGATGTACACCATTCAACATTCTTAGGAAATAAACAGTATAGATACTCAGTAATAAAATATTTTACAACTTTTTTAACAGAGGACGACTTTGGAAGCAGAGTCACAAAACATTGTGTCATGCTTCAAGCTTTTTACCTTTCCTTTTTGTGGTGTTTTCTGCTTTATTGTATGAAGGGTCATTGCTGACAAAAGCTTTCTGAGTAAAAGTTGTTGGTAATTTAATTTCCTTTTTCATTGAGTTCCAGATTACCACTTTTCTCATTTGTAGCTTAATAATTTTATCTTTATTCCTTTAGTAGGTATGTCCTGAAAGTAGACCTGGTGAATTATTTTTTGTTTTTGGGAATATATAGTGTACATGCCTCTTGTGGGAATAAAATATTATAAATAGCCGTTTCCCCTCTCCTTTAGCTGACTTGAATATGATGCACAAGCAAAATGAAGATGCGTATCATAATCCAGAGTCAAGACACTATCAAGATAAAAGGGGTCTTGTATCGGTTGACCAAAGTTTTGCCTCCCCAAGACCTGGGAATACAGGAGCATCTACAAATAAAATAGCAGGTTTTTAAGAATGTTATCAATTATAAACATTATTAGGTTTTAATGGCTAAAATTCTCAAATTCTTGTACATCTATCCTTTTCTGTCATCTTGTAAAACTGTCAATACTTTCTACTGTGTGAGGCAGTCTCATCTCTTTCCTAGTGGTCCTCTTGCCTTATTATTGTTGAAGCACAGAACATTAGTTTACTCCTCTGTATTTTTTCACTAGTAATTATGCTTATTTTTTATTAATAATATTGTGGTAATATTAAAAAGCCCCAGCCAGCTTCAGGGCCCCATTGTGCTCTAGATTACTGTATACAAAATAATCAGAGATGATGCCTGCCCTAAAGGGCATTCTATACTCCTTTTGTTTTTAAATGGTACAGTGATGTAAGATGTTAGGAAATGTAAAATTTACAGCGGAACATGCAACCTATATTATACTCTCGATGTTTTATGTATTGTGATCATATGTAATTATATGATCCCCATTGAAGATTGTGATTACAGTAGTAATCCGTAATTGGGATCTACCGAATTATAGCCAGTAGTGAAAATAAATATAATTTAAGTCTGTAAGCGTTATGAGAAATTGTATACAGAGGTGATTTTTGGAATTAAAAAACAAATATCAATTTGATAGTTTACTTACAGTAAGTTGCACACATTTAAAGGGACACATCACCTTGAGTCTCATCAATTTAAATAAGTTACAGGTGACAGAACCTGTCTCTTATGCCCCAAGACTCTTAGTTTGGGGTACAAGAGCTCTAGCACCAGCCGAGACTGGAATTCTACCCAGAAATGAAAAAGCCAGGCAGCCCAAATACCATGAACCTGAGTTAGGTTGGCTTGGACCAGCTGCGGGTATCTAGTTGCTGCGTAGTCATATTGTTAAAGACAATGAGCTGATTAGATGTTAGAGACCACGGTTTTGGCTCTTTGTATTCATTTGCTTCTTGCTAGGTGGGATTTCTCTGGGATGGGAGTTGAAATTTTGATGTTCAAGCCAAAACAGAAGCCTTTTTTATAGGTTACGGGATAATAAAGAGAGGCATTGTGACAAAGGGAAATTATTTAAAAGTAAGTTTGTTTTACCCCACCCCACTTGGGATATTAAATTTTGATTAATTGACTATCGATTAATTGATAAGGGCACCTCTGCCTTTGAAGTGTAGCAACAGCCCCAAGGGATTTCCCCTCAGACTCCATGCGGCACTGCTGCTTTGAAACACTGCGGGTAGCACAGCATCAGGCTCCTTGCAGCATTTCAAAGTAGCAGTGCCCTTGGAGCCCGGGATCACCTGGGGGGTCTCCAGCTGGCCCCGGGCTGCAAGCAGTGTTTCAAAGCGGCAGCTCCATGCAGCACTGCTACCTTGCAGCATCCCCTTGTCCCCATCTTCCTTGCTGTCTCTTTCTGATACAGACAGCAAGAGGTGGGGAGACTAGTCAACTACTGTGTTGACTATCCGATAAGCATTTGCTTATCGGATAGTCGACTACTCGACTAGTTGTTCATGTCCCATCCTTACACCCCACCCCACCATCTGCTGCTCTCTCTCATTAATATTTGTATGGTTTCTTTGAGAGTTGTTTGGGAAATCACTAGACCCCTACAAAAGCCAGGAAGTAGTGTCTTCTGTAATGGGAATGATTTCCAGTTTTTTGCTTTCCACTTTCTGTTACATTAAATCATATCTATTTTGATTTAAGGAATTATTTCGTAGAATGGGGGAAGGGCACCAATGAAAACAAAAAGTTATAGACCAGTAATTTCACTGTTTATTTCAGTTAAATCATTATCATGTTAATTTTTAAAAGCAGGGTATTTGAGAGAGAATTTTTTTTGATATTTTGTTTTAAAAAAATCTATTGTTATGCAAATTCTTGAGAAAATGCTCTTATGCTTTTGTGATATTTGGTTCCTTAACAAGAAGATACTACTTTGTAAACTGAATAGATGAAGAAGAAATGTTTATATAAAGTTTGACTTGTCAAACAAGTTTTATTCTTCGAGTGTTAGCTGATGTCCATTTCAGGTTAAGTGTGTCTGCATGCCACATGCACCATTGTGGGATGTTTTTCTCTCAGCCATATCCCTCTGCCACCCTCTGGAGTGATAAGTGCATGGCATGATATAAGAGGCGCCTATGGCTCCACTTACTCTCTGTTCATTCTTGCTTCCAGTGATAGTGCTGATACTTCTGTGGCTTTGACCAGCTTTTATCTGGTGTTCTATGTGAACTTGTTTTTTTTTTCTAGTGTAAATAGTTTTTCATAGTTGATTTAGTGTTACTTAGTAGTTGTCCCATATGGAACTCAGCCAAAGGATGGGGTATGCTCTGATCTCCCAACTTCAGCCCTTGTGATTTGTGCAAACATCCTATTGCCCATCAGTGACCCACATAGTAGTTGCCTGAGGTGTCTGGGTAAAGGGCACATTAGTCACACATGCTGTATTTGCAAGTCTTTTAAGCCTTGGACAAAAAAAGTACAGACACATTCACCTCAGAGTGTTTCTAATGGAGTTGGCACTAACCCTCACACACAAGCAGAGGTCAGACTGGTCCCCAAGCACCGCAGGATCAGTGCAAAGCCACGTGCCAGAACTGTGTATGAGCCAGCACTGATTCTGGCTCCCACCAGAAAGCTGTTGGGGTCTGGGTGGAGATGATCTCCTACTTCCCATAAAGTAAAGGAGCGGGCTGGAGGAGAGCCAATGCCTGTGACAGGTAACTTACCACCTCCATCTAGGTTTCAGGCCACAGCTCAGGCTGAGTGGTCTGACCTGTCCCACCACATGTTTGCCACCCCAGGCAGCAAAGAAGGCCTTCAGCACAGAGATGTCGTTGACTTCTGAGGCCCTGTAGGCAGTGCAGGAAATTCTGACTTTTCCAGTGCTGCCTACCTCAGCTCAGCTGAAGTGGAGTCGCAGTCCAGGTGTGTGAGCCTGCTTTGGTGTCCTTTTGAGCATCCCTGCCCCACAACTTCACATCCCCTTTAAGGGGCATTCTCATCAGTGCTCCAAGCATGAAGCCACCATGCTTTGGACATTGGGTGTCAGGTTCTGCAAATACCTAGTTGGTCCCTGGAAACTGGCACTGAGGCTCTGAGTGCAGCCCAGTGGGAACCCAGCGCAGCCCTGTTAAGGCGCACACATTCTTTAGCAGGAGCATTGAGACTGTTCCTGTATGTCTCCGATGTCTCAGCGCTGCTCACATGAACATTTGCTTGAATGGAATTGCCAGTTACCAGGTAACTGGCAACAATCTCCCTTGTGCAGGATCCTCATGGCACATCGATTCTCCCATCACAAATCCCGGTCTAACTCCCAGTCTCACTTTAGATCCTGTCACCATGGATCATGGTTTACCAATGCAGGTTTGCCCAACTCCAACTTAGTTATATCTTTTTCCAAGCTGAAAAGTTTCAGCTTTATTAATCTCTCCTCATATGTAGGGTATTCCACCCTCTGATCATTTCTGTTGCCTTCTCTATACCTTTTCCAATTCTAATGTATCTTTTTTGAATTGGGGTGATCAGATCTGCATGCATTTTCTGTCTTTACTAGCTATCCCTTTCCTAAAGTTTCACAACATTGTGTTAGTTTTTTTTGGCCACTGTTGCACATTGAATTGATGTTTTCAGACAACTAGCCACGTAAACTCCAAGATCTCATTCTTGAGTGGTAACAGCTAATTTAGACCACCACATTTTATATGTAATGACAGGATTATGTTTTTAGTGTGCATTTCTTTGCATTTATTAACATTCAATTTCATTTGCCATTTAAGTCATTCAGTTTTGAGATCTCTTTGTAACTCTTTGCAGTTTGCTTTGGATTTAATTATCTTGAGTAATTTTGTGTCACTTACAAATTTTGCCACCACATAGTTTACTCCCTTTTCCAGATCATTTACAATTATGTAGAACAGTACTGGTCTAAATATAGACACCCTGGGGGACACCACTTGTTACCTCTCTCCATTCTGAAAACGGACCATTTTTTCACACTCTTTGTTTCCTATCTTTTAACTAGCTACTAATCTCCTGAGAGAACTTTCTTATTCCATAGCATCTTAATTTTTTTCAGAGGTTCTGGTGAGGGACCTTCTCAAATGCTTTCTGAAAATCTAATTAAGCTATATCTACTGGATCACCTTTGCCCACATTCGTGTTGACCCCCTCAGAGAATTCTAGTAAGTTGGGGAGGCATGATTTCCCTTTACAAAAGAACATGTTGACTCCTCCCCAACAAATCATATTTGTCTATGTGTCTAGTAATTTTGTTCTGTTGTATAGTTCCAGTTGGTTTGCTTGTTACTGAAGTTAGGTTTACTAGTTTGTAATTTGTCTGGGTCACCTCTGGGACCTTTTTATGCCGCATAATGTGATTTTTGCGGAAAAACTTGCCAGCTGTCTACACTGGTCGTTTGAATTTCCGCAAGAACACTGACGATCTCATGTAAGATCATCAGTGTTCTTGCGGAAATACTGTGCTGCTCCTGTTCGAGCAAAAGCCCTCTTGCGCAAATCATTTGCGCAAGAGGGCCAGTGTAAACAGCACAGTACTGTTTTCCGCAAAAAAGCCATGATCGCGAAAATGGCGATCGGGGCTTTTTTGTGGAAAACCACATCTAGATTGGCCACGGACGCTTTTCCGCAAAAAGTGCTTTTGCGGAAAAGCATCCTGCCAATCTAGACGTGCTTTTCCGAAAATGCTTTTAACGGAAAACTTCTCCGTTAAAAGCATTTTTGGAAAATCATGCCAGTGTAGACGTAGCCTTTGAGTCTTTGGCTAGCTATTCTTCAAATTCTTTATTGGCTTTCCTTATCCTCGCATTATTTGGGGCTGAGAGTAAACTGCCAATCTAACCCTTAATGGTACTATTTTCAACAGACTAACAACAGAGCGGCTGTGCTGAAAATGGTGTTACATTTAAAATTCATAGTATGGTATGCTCCTTAGAGTAGAGGAATTTGACCTCACTTAATTTTTAATCTGTGCATTTTTTGTATTGCACATCATCCTATTACGTGAACATTAGTAAAATGGAGATGTGTTTTATGGTATGTGTGTTCTTTGAAAAATTGAATTAGATTTGAATGATGATCATAAACAATGAAATGTTGAATTTAGAAATATTTTGTCCATTTAAAACATATAGAACTATAAACCTTGGTACATGTATGAAAGTAGCTATGTAGATTTGGTCGTGGCAGACTATTTTTCATCATAAACATCAGAATACTAACGTGACTATGTAGTCATTTATTTGTTGCTTGATATCCTAAAATCCTTTTGTTATTTGAATATCTTTGTCCAAGCTTAAATAACTAACTCATATTAATTGAACAGTGCAAACCTTTGCTAAATTCTGCACATAAAATGTAAACATTATTTTTGAAAACTTTTTCTGTAATATCTTTAGATAATCGGTATCATGGCAGCGATATGTTTGTGTTCCTGTTTCTTTGGTCTGCTTTTCTGCCTCAAAACTAATTTTGGTTACATTTGCAAAACTGTCATCTCTAGGTTACACATTTACACAAACCTCTCCCTATGCTCGAGGGAACATATTTGTCGAGCCACCATCTGAACAACAGATTATGCGGCAAGAAGCATACAAGAATTTTCTCCGTTTGCAGGTGAATGCATGTTTCATTATCACCCTGTTAAGTAAAAATGCTCAGCTGCTAAAATACAACTTTTCAAGGATTTTATCTAGTACATACTGTCGAAGGCCCTAGTCTTGTACAGGCTTATGTATATGAGGGTATGTCTACACTACAGCACTAATTCGAACTAACTGAATTCTAATTAGTTAATTCAAACTAAGCTAATTCGAGTTAGTGCATTTAGACCTAAAACTAATTCGAATTAGTGTTTTGCTAATTCGAAATAGCATGTTCACATTGAGTGGACCTTGAACCGAAGTTAAGGCTGGCCAGAACCAGTGCCGGCAGGGCATCAGGTTAGGACTTGGAGTGTGGAGCTGCTGCCTTGGGACAGACAGTTCACAGGGTTCCCCACTTTCTTGTCTAACTAGATGAGGGACAGCAAAGCAGTCCTGACTTGGAGTGCCCTCACTTGGCACATCACAGCACTCGACCATCAGCCCAGCTGCACTTGCCGCAGGCTGCCATCCGGGGGGGGCGTCATTTGGGGGGCTGTCAGGATCCAGGAGGCCCTGCAGGAGAGCTTCCACCCCAAGGAGCCCGCAGAGCCACACCAGTCCTCCCCATCGGGGGCTCGTGCCCCATTCCTCCCTCATCTCCTTCCACTTACCCTTCCCTAGCCCCCCTTCCTGATGTTAAAAAAATAAAGGACACGTGTTCAAAAATAGAAACTCTCTTTATTTAACAAAATACCCCCTCCGGGGTACCTGGTATTGGCTGCTGTCGGCAGACAGGCTACTGGGCTAGATGGACCTTTGGTCTGACACAGTACGGCCATTCTGATGTTCTTATGTTCTAAGCTCAGGGTCGGGGGTCTCACTGGACCAACTTGATTTTCATGCAGACCTGCTCCTTGGTTTGCATGTGGCCTTTGGTGGCCAGGTTGGCAGCTATCCTGCCCTACACGGCCACTTTCCTGTGCCTAGTGCGGAGGTCGTGGACGTTGGAGGCCTCCCCCCAAACCTCGATGAGGTCCACGCTCTCTGCACTAGACCAGACGGGCGCCTGCCTCTTGTGGCCCCGGGCAGGCTCCTGGGAGCCGCCAGCCTGGTCCTGGGGAGAGATTGGGAGCCGCCAGCCTGGTCCTGGGAAGAGATGGAGTGCTGGGTGGCAGCAGGTGGCTGGCTCATGCTGTGCCAGGTGCAGGGTCTGCTGACTAGGTGCTGGCAGGCTTGCAACTGGCACGAGCACTGTAGCCAGGCCATGCCCCTTTAAGGGCTCGAGGGCTGGGAGGGGGGCAGAAAAGTTTCCCTGGTTTGGCCCAGAGTGGCCACCAGGGCAACCTGGGAAGGGCTAGTCTCCAACTAGTTTGAATTAAGTGGCTACACACCCCTTAATTCGAACTACTTAATTTGAACTAGGCGTTAGTCCTCGTAGAATGAGGTTTATATAGTTCGAATTAAGCGCTCCACTAGTTCGATTTAAGTTCGATGCTATGAAAGTTAATTCTAACTTAGTAGTGTAGACATACCCTGAGTGACTTACTGCAGATGAGTAGTCCCATTGAATTGCATGGGAGTACTCACGTGCATAAGGGTTTGTAGGATCGTGTCCAATAAACCATCTGGAATCAGAAATTGATTCCATTAATGATTGGCCTATTTTCTGTTGTGTTTTTAAACATTTTTTGAGTTCCTATACTCTGTTAGGAGCCTTATAAAAACATGAAAGCACAGACCTTGTCCTTAATAATTAACTGTCTAAATTCAGTGTGATACAAAGGATTATAAGTAGACAAAGAGGAAGGGAAAAAATAACTATAAGAACCTAGTTATTTTTAGTAAAGCATGTATATAATACACCTGCTAATTTTTTTCTCTGTAATGTGTTTTTAGTGTAATGAACTAGAGCCGCAATAGTTAAAAAGAATAGAAGGGGGAAAATGGAGAAAAAAAGTACAGTAAACTTCCGATAATCCGGCACCTTTAGGACCCAGGGGGTGCCGGATTATCAGATATGCCGGACTATCGGAAGGGGGGGCTATGAGGGGTCTGGAGTGGGGTGGGAGGGGATGCCACCCCAGAACCCTCATAGCCCCCCCCTTAGATAGTCCGGCTCTGCCCCAGGCGTCCCTGATTCAGCCACTGCTAGTCAGTTTCAGCAGCCGCTGAATCGGGGATGCCCGC